GAACATTGCAGGGAGGGGCCTTCCATGGAAAGGTTCTTTCTAGTCCGTGATGCTTGTACTTCCTTTCAGGGAAACAACCAATGCGTACAGATGAAGACTAATGCCTCCCTTCTCCCCTGCTAGAGTTAAGCACCATATCCCCTTTGCTCTGACCAAAAATACCCAGAAAATTCAGCAGTCTCAGCTTTGATCTTTATATATTGGAATGAGATAGACTGTAGTTAACAGGAAGTTCAATCCCAGTGACCACAGCGGATAGGAAGCAGTTTTTCTCACTCACCAAGTAAGAACTGCAAATACTCCAGGTAAAAATAAGCTCACCCTTCTCTGTCTCTGTCAGAGAGCAGGGACTTCCAGCATGCTCATTCTCCTGTCCTGGGAGGGCTTTTCTCGTGTTCAGATCCCATGACCACGTGACAGCCCCTACACCCTCCTCTCTAACTTTGACAGAAAGAAGGGGAAGAAGGGGGGGGACAAACGACTGACTGCTGACTAGAAAGAAAAGTGTCTCCCACAGTCTTCTTCCTGTGGATTAGAAGCGGCATCCCTCCACGCCAGGAAGTTGAGTGCCGTTGATTTTAACTTTTATTTTCAGGAGAATTAACGGAAATGGAGACATTCCTGTTGGTCTTAGGATAGTTACATCTCACCTGTCACATCCCCACCCAGAACTAATCCTGAGAGCGGTCTTTCATGCAGCTAGCCACCTTCATGAAGCCTCATGAAGCCAGTTAACACCACTCCCCTCAACCACAGGTCATCCATCCCAGGGTGATAGTCTCAACTAGGGCCACCAGTTCAATCAAGCGAAACCTCTTGAAAACTAACTTCAATGCACCTGTCTGTAGCAGAGCCCTTCTGTACCCATCATTATGATAGTTTATATTTTTGATTATGGTTTTGTTTTTGTTTTTCGAGATAGTGTTTCTCTGTGGCTTTCAAGGATGTCCTGGAACTAGCTCTTATAGACCAGGCTGGTCTCGAATTCACAGAGATTCAGCTGGGATTAAAGGCCTGCACCACCACCGCTGATAGTAACTTCTTACTCTTTGGTTTATATCAATCCTAATAACTCCCCAGTCACCCTTCTCCTAAGGAGGAGGAGTGCATATGAACTCTTTTCTGCCCACCCAGATCCTATGAGAAACACTAGAGGAATTCTCCCATGTTACCATGAGTGACTTTGAGCATATTGGATCTATTTACCCTTTTAAAGATGCTCAGAGTAACTGGAGGAGTACGGCAGTCACAAGAGACCATGTAGAACAGTAGCGCTGATGGTGATGGCCATGCTTGGCAAAGACACTTGCGTGTTTTTGCTATAGGAAACAGGGACTGTCAAGTAGTCAATGCTAGCCCCAAACTCCCAGTCTTCTACCTCAGTCTCCTAAGTGCTGGAGTGGCAGTTCTGCACTGAACTGGAAAGATCACATTCTGCAGAACAGTATATATGCCATCATACACTAAATGCTCTACCCTCACAGTTCACCCACCCTAAATACGCTATGTCCGTTTTCAGTAACTCCTTTGCTTCAGGACCAACGTTTATCCTGCAGAATGACGGCAAACCCAACAATTCTAGGACATAGTACCATAAACCCAGGAGCAGCATGAGAGCACAGACCTCCAAAGAGCTGCACAGCTGATGCCCACCCCACATTCTGCCTCAGAAGGTTCTTCCTGGATCTCTTTAGGAGCTTGCGTTTGTTTTTTTTTTTAATTTATTGTGGCGTTTACTCCCCTTGCATCATCCCTGGGAGTTACAAGCTTATGGCAGATGTCAACAGAAACACACACTCTCTAATCTGTGAGTTCATCCCACCTGTGTACCTGCTTAGCTTATCATGGGCTTCAGCCTCCGTGTTTGGTCTCCATAGTGATATCAGATCCCAGACCACTTTAAATAAAGGATCAGGCTCTTCCTCCCCACCCCTCCAAACATACCTAGCCAGGCGACCGTCTCCCTCAGCCCCTTCCCATTTGTCACTTAGCCCTTCTTTTTATATACCTGCTATAAGCAACACACATGATAGACTCATAGAGGAAGAACACCCATGCCTGTAAGTTAACAATGGAGCAGGAGAGGCAGCTGTGGTGATGTTAGTGTGTGGCAGTGGCTGCTGTCAGAAGAACAGATACGGGATTAGAGTGGCACTTAGAGAAAAGCAGATCTGGGTCATTTTCACAACAGAGGTGACTGAGGCTGGCCGGGTGGATGGCATCAGGACAGGCCACAGGAGTTACAGAACAGAGGTGACTGAGGCTGGCCGGGTGGATGGCATCAGGACAGGCCACAGGAGTTACAGAACAGAGGTGACTGAGGCTGGCCAGAAGGATGGCATCAGGACAGGCCACAGGTTATACATAAGGCAGCCTTTGTGGCAGACTGTGAGCATTTGGAACACCCAGTGACGCTGTGCTATGAGGTCAGTGCCCTATTGCTCCTCAGCCATCAGGCCTCTCTCAGCTTCCCTGAATCCTCCAGCCTCTCTCTCCTGGACATCCATGGCGACACATGAAGGTGGAATGTTTCAGAAGGCGGTGGTAGCAAAGAAAACAGAGCATCAGGTCCTTGTGAACCATTGTGCACCTGTATTTAGACTTTAAAGAAGCCTAGGTAAACAAATGTCTTCATTTCCATTCTCCTTGCACTAGACATTTCCTTCTCAACAGTGCTGGAACTCTGATATCTGCTGGGTTGCCAGGCATGCTGTTGACAGTCATTGCCAAGAGCGCTGTGTTTTCCCCTTCGGAATTTACATTTCTTTTTGGTATTATTACTTCTGACCACTGTATTGCACTGGGGGCATTGCTGAGGAATGACAAAGGTCACTTACACAGAGCTGTTACTAGAGATGAAATGAGACGTCTTGCTTAAAATAAAGGAAAAAAGTAAACTTAGGTGGAAAATGACAGGAAAAAAGTAAAAATAAAAATAGGTTGGAGTATATTTCAACAAAAACATGATTTTCAGAATTGTGAGCATCTCAAATTGCTCTGATTTTTCCATTTCTAGTCCATACCCATTCGGTGTTTGTTCATCTGCCCCCTTCTTGTTGACTTCTAGAAATTTTAAAACGTGTCCAGATGCCAGTACTTTTCCATATGGTACACATCTCCTTCATTCTATATACACTCTCTTAATGCCCAGAATAGCCAGCTTCTCTCCTCTTCTGAAGACATACATGTCCACGTCCCAGATCTCCTGTGTAATGTGCCCGTTGCTGAGTGTAGCATGGCTGAGCTAGCCACAGTGGAGAGTCTGACTTCATGACTTGGTGCTCCAAAGGCCACCCTGAGTCCTCTGGCTACTGTGTTCATCAAGAGGCTCTTCCCTGGGCTGGCAGAAACAGTTATGGTATCTAGATTAAGGATTGTTCCTGCAGCCCCTTCTGGAGGTTCATTCCCTCAATTCTATTTGTCACATGAAATCAAGGTGAAAATCAAGGATGACCCCTTGTAGATCCCTGGAGCTTCGGTCACTGTAGCCGTGTCCTCTCCAGGGATTTACTCTACCAAAGTCACTGGATTCACCTTCCCAGATGTTGTCTCTTTGATGCAGAATGAAGTTAGAATTGTTTCAGTCATGTATGGTAGATGATAGACATGCAAATAGTTGCCTTTGAAAGGAGAGATTATGGCTCCTGGTAATGGGGGACAAGTCACACCAGACAGGTTCACACAAGGATGCACCCCATTAAGTCAGGAGGCAGAAGGGTCAGGTGGCCCACACTCTGATGTGGATTCCATGGAAGGCTGGGATGAGACAGGCTGGGCACCTGGGTGGGGAGATCTAGGATTGGCTGTTATAATTTCTGGAGTCTCAGGGTGGTCTCCTGTCTGGTACCTAGCCCTGGAGTGATTTCAAGGGGGGAAGGGTAGGATGCTGGGTTGCTCTGTCAGAGCTACAAGAGAGTACATAGCTGGGGTTTGAGACTTTGGTGGGTGGCCTGCATAGGAAGGTTGTGGTCAGTGGAGTCTCTGTCCCTGACCTACAAAGTTGATTACTGGGAATGGGAGCTTTGATTTGATACCCCCATCTTGATGACACTCCAGCCTGTGAGGACGGTAGGAAGACCCCCTGGAAATGTTGTATGATGACTGACAAAGCTCTCTGTGGGCCGTGAGAAGGCCTAACCAATACATGGCAGCCATGGAGGGGTCTCCCAAGATCCCACATGTGTGACTTGAATTCTGCTTCTCTATCACTAAACGTGTGACTCGGTGCCTTGTGTTTGGTATTTTGATAATAAAACCAGGGAGCCAAGAAATATCTCAACTGTAGCCAACATCAGTAAAAATGATTTCTGAATGTAGCAAAGTCTTCCTCATGGAATCTGAGGTGTGTCATGTTTCTAGATGCTTCCAGAGACAAAAGTGTAATCTCTTAATGAAGTCTTCTGAACATAAAAGTAGCAGCCAAGGTGTTTAAATTGCTTGTTTCCAAATATCTCATTTGGGAAAATCTCGAGTGGATTTTCATTTCAATTGGAAATAACTTCACCTAGCTCCCCAACTTCTGAATTGAATAAGAAGGACTTCATTTACTCTCTTGCCAAAAACAATGGAAAAAACAAATAAAATGTGAAAGCAACATTTTAAGGCAGTGGATGTTGAACAGTGAAGCAGAGATTCTGAGAAAAGAGAAACCAGTGAAGTGAGTTTTACAATCATCTCCTTTTAATGGTTGATGTTTCCAGGCTGTCAGGCAGGGATGAAGAATACCAGTGGAGCTCTTTCACTGCCCAAAGGGTATTGGTCATGTTCTTATCCCCTAGGATGCATTGGTATCTTGGGGCCTTGCTGGCCAGGGTAGGCTGCCCCTCCCAGGGTTGACTAAACTCTGAGACAGTCCTCTGTAAACACACCTTGCCTTTGCAAGCCTGCCAGGGAGCTCATTGTGTCTTTTGGACCCACAGTGTCTAATGTGAAAAAGCACTTGGCCTCTAGAAAAAGGAGTCATATGGATTTGCTAAAATTAAGTTATTTGTGTTTCTTCCGTGTATTCTATGTGTTTAACTGTTAGTCTGTTCGTTTGTTTTTTAATGAAGCTAATGCTGCTTACCTTGGGAGCCAAGAAATGATCCATGTGCAGAAGAGAGATGATGAAATCATAAAGGAACATTTACCTAAGGTAACCACTTTGAGGCTGCAGGTATGCCAGTTGATGGGTAGAAATACTTACTGAGGAGATGAGGTTAGAGTTGGTCAAGAACTGAAGACTTTGAGCCTCTGTAGATTCAGACAGAGTTCTGTTACACTTGAAAGTAACATGGAGTAATTAGAGCTGGTTACAGCTACATCAGTATATTTTGACACTTTTTTTGTTGAATTGACTTTTTAAAATCAGTGTGTCCTATTTCAACAGTGTATTAAACTGGGAAGTCTCAGCAGCGTCTGTAGAATAAATGAGTTATGTGGAAATGTGATGGGGGACGTCATTCTGTATATATGCTTGTCTTATTGGTTGATGAGTAAAGCACTGCTGGCCAATAGGGAAGCAAGATAGGTGAGACTAGGAGAGGTGGAGTATTCTGGGAAACAGAGGCACAGTCAGTCACCATGTAGGATGCCAGAAGGGAAAGTCATCCGGACCCTTTCTCCCGTAAGAGAAGACAACGTGGAAATACTCAGATTAGCATTTATGGCTTAATAATTAAGTCAGAGCTAGCCAACAAAAAACCATAGCAAATGGCCAACAGCTTCATAATTAATATAGTGTCCTGTGTGTTCATTTGGGACTGATGCAGCTCTGGGACCAGGCTGGTAGGAAGAATCTCGTTACAGAAATGTAACAATTAAAACAGAGGAAAAGAGCTAACATTACATATGACTACTGAACAGGAAGCCTTTCTTTCTCATTCTCCAACACATAGGGCTCTCTTGTTCTCACATAAACAGTAGCTTTCTGATATATCAGGAGGTATGTGTTACCTGCAAACAGGATACTCAAACAAATACATTTGGAAGTGCTGGTCTCCAAAGCTATAAAGCCACCATATGCCCAAATGTGCTAATATATGTATAAATATGACACTTCTGGGACATCATCTGTCTGTGTCATCCTGAAGAGGGTAGATCTGCTCTGTTTCTTTTAAATATTTATCTGTTTTTATGTGCATTGGTGTTTGCCCTGCATGTATATCTGTGTGATGGTGTTGGATCCCCTCAAAATGCAGTTACAGACAGTTGTAAACTGGCATGTAGGTACTGGTTTTGAACCAGAGCCATCCAGAAGAGCAGCCAGTGATCTTAACCTCAGCTCCATCTCTCCAGATACAATCTGTACTTTTTTTTTATTCTGTTGCTTTGGTTCAATCAAACCTAGGGTCCTGCACATGCTGAGGAAACATGGCCTGCTGCTGAACTTTGGCCACGGCCCAGCGCTGCTCTGTTAAACTTCAACACCCACACACCAGAATTGCTATGTATGGTTAGTGTGAATTGAGACTTTTCATTAGTATAAATGCATACTGACTCTCATGACATTAGTACCGTGTGCTCAGGATACAGATCAGTAGTGGAGTGCTTGCCTGGTATTGTACAAGACCTGAGTTCAACTTCAGCACAAGCAGAAAAACATTAGTATCTTAAAAGAAAAAATGTTTCATTAATATATTGACCACATGTTGAAATATTTTAGATACATTGTAGTACATGTATTTTAAATACACCTAAGCTAATTTTACTTATTCCTGCATACTCTTTAACACTGTTGCTGGAAATTTCATTAAGTACATATATGCCTTGGTTCATGTTTCTGTAGACACCACTGTACAGCTGAACTTTACAGTTAGTGTGGAACACTGACATCTGCTGGGTGTGGTGGAATGATCCCTGGTGGATGAGTGACTCTGACAGGGCTGGAAGTCAAAACCTAGAGGCGGCACTGCATTGAGAACCTCTTCTTAAACTGTGACACACTAACCTGAAGCTTGTCCACAGTGCTGATTCCTAGTTGTTTAACCCCGCAATACAGTCTTCTGAAAGCAAGCATTATGTAATATTGGCTTAGAAAATATTTTATTGTATTAAAATATTTATTTCAATAGTCGCTGGGGAAATGCCAGTATCTGTTTGCTTTATGTTATCATATCATCTTCCTATGTCATCATTTTTCCTAATCAGCAGTTGTCGAGTGAGAAATTCTGAATTAAGATAAACTGTTCCTAGCTGACTGGAGAAGGTTGGGCAAGGAGGACCCACTACTCTCCAAGACTGTGCAGTACTTCCAGCCTTCAGGGTATGAAGTGACCATAGAACAGCAGTTTACTTGTAGTTAAGTTATGAGTCAGTCTGTTTCCAAACTGCATTTTAGTTCTTCAGGTTGGAAGTTTGTAACAACAATTCAAGTCCTGCTTTATAGCAGGATTGCCAGACCCTTGCTTCCAAAATTCACACTTGGGGAATGACTGGACCTGACATGTTAGAGCTGGTCCTACCACCTGGAGAAGTCAGCTGCTGCAAAATCCTGCTCGGTCCAGATCCTGTTCGTACACTGTGCTGAGAAGGAGGTCAAAGAAGGCGCTAACTTATCCCTGTGCTAAGTTAAACCCAGGTAGTCATTCCCAGGTGAGGTGTGCTCATGCATTGTGGCAGGACTGGACGTTTTGACACTTTCTCAGGGGAAACCTGGGAGTGTGCTGGTACACAGTCAACCCTTGAAGGTTAATATTAGCACAGGCTCCGGAGAAGCTCTCCAACTCCAGGGAATAATTGTGTTTCGACGACGACGACGACGACATCAAATGCATGGTAGAATTTAAGGCATGTCCGGTGCTGTTCACCATGCTGCGGTGCAGCTCCAGTTCTGTCTCACAGTAACTCCTTACGTGGGTTCACTGAAATGCCTTCTGCCAACCAAAGAGCAGCTCTCCACTCAGATAGGGTTGGCTCTGTTCCTCAGCATTCCTGAGCTAGCACAGAGACACAGGAAGTGATGGCAGCTTCATGTGATGTAGTGAAATAAGAGGAAGTATGCTGCAACTTAGTTTTGATAACAGTGACTTAACATAATGTGTCCCCGTCAGCTTAGGAAAACAAGGGAAGTTAACTGGACACATAGTTCTAGGAAGGTGGACATTGCCTCCCCTCTTCTGGAGATCGTTTCTTCCAGTGGTTCTTAGCCTTCCTAGAGCTGTGACCCCTTACAGTACTCATGTTGAAGTGACCCCAACCATAAAACTATTTTCATAACTACTTCATATCTGTAAATATCTGTGTTGTGGATGGTCTTAGGTGACCTCTGTGAAATGGTCCTTTGACCCCCAAAGGTGTGGGGACCCACAGGTTGAGAACTGCTTTTAGTCAAAGCTGGAAGTTCCTGAGACTGCAAATGCCTCTGTTTTCAAAGCTGTACTCAAGGATGCCCTCTCCCCATTTCCACCCAGGCAGAGGAACGCAGAACCTTTCTGCTTATTCACACCACCCAGTATGAAGTTTCTGACCCATCACTGATGCAAAAACTTTCACATCAGAGGTCACACTGTCTCTTCACCTGGCTCAATCCCACTTTTCCTTAAACCTGGCTCCCACTGTCAGCTCCAGGAAGTTTCCCCAGCTGCAATCATCCCTGTAGCTCTCACGGCTCCCTGTTTAGAGTTAGAATATCACAGTTGTCACACACAGTGTGTAAATGAACAGCCTTTGACTTGTCCATCCCACGGAGGAACTGTCATTTTCATCTGAGGGTCCGCCACAATTCATAGTGTCTGGTGAACCAGCAGTGAATGCGTGCTAGATAGGTTGGTGGAAAGACAGGTCAGTCAGGATGCTCCTATAGACTATGGATTATGTTGAAATACAGTCAGCAAAATACTTTAAAAATTAATTTGTGATACAGTTCTGTGTGCATCTTTATTGACGCATTGGAGAGCAAGAGGGAGTAACAGGTACTGGGGAGATTGTGCAGCAGTTTGCAACGAATGCTGTGCTTACAGAGAACCCAAGTTCAGATCATATATCCATGTCAACAACTCACACCCGCTGTACTCCAAGTCCGGGGGGATCTGACACCTCACGCCTCTATGGGCACCTCCACTCATGTGTATACACACGCACAGACACGTGTGCACACACACACATGTAATTAAAACTTAAATAAAATTAAAGATATAGTAGAGTTGCTACTGTGAGTTTGTAGAAATGAGTGTAATTTTGTGTTTAGTCATCTACAGTAATTTTACTACAATTTGAGTACATATGTATTAACAACATTGTGGCTTATTGTCTATTTACAATTGAATGAAATATTAAATTTTAGCTAGAAGTAAATAACAAGGTTATCCCAATCACTGGATCTAGGTGGGCTTGTAGACTCCAAGGTAAAAGCCCCACATTAGGAAAAGAGAGGCTGGGCTGCATGAAGCATTGGTGTGGACACTGAATAAGTCATAAGCAAGGGACAGCATCAAGAGCAGCCATTCTCAATCTGTGGTTCACACACATTTGTGGGTAGAACCACCCCTTCACAGGAGTAGCCTGAGACCTTTGGAAAAACAGATATTTACATTAAGATTCTTAACAGCAAAATTACAGTTATATAGTGGCAGTCAAAACAATTCTATGGTTGGGGTTCACCACAAAATGAGGGACTGTATTAAAGGGTCACAGCACTAGGGAGGCTAAGAACCACTGATCTAGACCGATATAACAAATATTTAGCAACCACAAGATACAGCCGCTGACCAATCAGAGCACATAGCACCTGCCAACAGCTCATTCTGATATCCCAGTATCTTCACTTGAGAGATAATTGGGGGAAATGTTAGAATATTTGGAAACATTTCATTTTTCGGTGGCGTGTCTGTTAAGGGTTTTAGAAGACTGGATGCAGTGGGGTTGGGAAGAAAGGATTCAGGAGGAGGAACCAAAGACCCTTAGTTCAGGTGGGGCATTAGCAGATGGGTGAGGGAGTCTGAGACTGTGGGTTGCCGTTGGTCTAGATTTGGTGTAAGGGAGGATGGGGAAGTAGCCCAGGCTGTGGGAGGTGGTTGCTGCTTGTGTGTGAGACACCTATGGCATATCCATGCCCAGATGTCTGCTGTGAATCCTAGAAGGAGGAGTCTGGGCTCAGTTTTGGTTTTGGCAAGATAGGCCTGTAGTTGGAGCTGTGACCACGCATAGTGGCCACCT